CTACGGGCGCTTCACACTGGAATAACTCTTGGGAAGAATCTGAGGTTAGGAAACTTACTAATCTACACAGACTCACTTGAATCAGTTAACCTCCTTTGGAGAGGCAATACTACCAAGCATCCTCTTCGAGAACTCATAATAGAGTTAAGGGAGATGATCTATGTAGACCAGAATATTCAGGTTTTCCACACCCACTGAGAAAACACCAAATGTGCGGACTACATGGCAAGACAGGGCCACACAGGATTGACAGAAATGATTCTCTCTTGGGAGGTGCCTAACGGTTGCAAGGGAATATTCCTGGAAGACAAGATGTTAACATGACTGTTCTGTTGTTCGTTTTGTGTAGCCTTTTAAGGCGTTATTTTCCTCAAGTTTCGGCTTGCCTTTCCATGTTAAAAAAAAAAAAAAAGAAACATATGTGTCAGTTTAAAGCTTTGGTTTTGTTTTAAATTAACAAGAAGCATTAGGGGAAAATTAACCCTAAATTCTTGCCCCTACTCCGCTCGCCTTAAACACCTGGCTGTCTTCGTCAATAATTTTAACGGGTGTGTGTATTCTAAACTCTAAATTCTTTAAGATTAAAGTATACATTTGGTCTTTTAACTTTGTACAAGGTTTTAATTTGGTCTCTTAATTTTAAAAAATATACATTTGGTCCTTTAAAAATTATTTGAGAATATTTTATCAATATTTAAGATCTCAATGTCATCATTTTTAAAAAAAATTTAGGGTTAAAAAACCAAAAATATACTTTTTAAAATTAAGAGATCAAATTGAAACCTTGTATAAAATTAAAGGACCAAATGTATACTTTAGCCATTCTCTAATTTAATGCATTAAATAAATTCATAATAGTATATATTTAAAGTTAAAGTTGATGATTCTATAGCTGTCATTTTGTGACTCATTTTATAGTTCACAAATTTTAATGGATACATTTTTTTTTAGATCGACGTTATTATCTTTGTTGTGGATTCTGATCACTTCCATAGCATATTGCGACTTTTAAAATAGTTTACATGAATTCTGAAGTCCCAGTGACCAACAACATATGAATTCCATGTAAAAAAATTAATTGGAACATCTCAACACAAAAGAAGTACTCTTCCGGTTCTTAATATAAAACCTATTTAATTAATTTGATTAGATTTAAAAAGTTAGGTAAGTTAGTTAATTATAATAAATATGACATGTTTTTTCTAAAATACCGTAATCATCTTCATCATATCCTCCCTTCCTCTCATACTTGATTATGGTTAATGGAATATTAATATGGGTGATTTGGAAAAAATTAATAGATATAAAAATAGGTATTATATTTAGGATAAAATTAACTCTACAATTAGGTCTTGTATTAAAGATCAGAAAAGTACTATATGTACAAGCCTCTATATGCGTATGCATGTTATGTGGATAAACTAAACAAAATGACCTTATAAAACTTTTCCTTCTAATGATTATATTGGCTGACAAAACATATTTCTTAAGCAATAAATCTATATAGTAGAGCTATTTAAAACAGGAAAATTATATTTATTTTGCTGAGGTTATTGTTATTCAACATAAAAAAGAAAAAGAAAATGAAAGGGAATGAGCAAGGACCAAGGAACCTTGATTGCACTTATTAGGGTGATGAAACAAGATGCAAAATTCTTTGGTTTTTCGTAAGCTATATTGTCTGGTCTATGCGGCAATTATGTGAACAACCTCGCACACCTTCTGATTCTTTATTTTTTAAAAATTTATTACTGGCTTGAAAGCTCGATCATGATCTTCTCTGAAATATGTTTCATTAACTAAACATTATTAAAAACTAGGAAGGTGTCCTCATCAAAACTGTACTCAGATTAAGTGAGTTTTTTTTCCCCAAAAAAAAACTATAATTGACTGATATAATTTTTTCTCAAGCACGTATATCCTCTTATTGGATATAAAATTGTTTCTCAAGCATGTATATCATCTTATTGGATATAATCTTCTTTGGGATACTATTAAGCACTAAATGTGAGTACTTCTATTAGTAGAGATTCAAATATGGGTTCACCACAACAATTATTTGTTCAAGACACTGTCGGATACTAAATGTGAACACCTCTTCCAATAGAGGTTTAAAACTTGATTCATCACATTGTGGAATACTAGCTTTTTTTTTGTTAGATCTAACTTCTGTTGGTTATTATTTCTCAATTTTAATTGCTTAATTTATACTCCTCCGGTCTTTAATATAAAACCCATTTAACTAATTTGATTAAATTAAGAAAGTTAGGTAAGTTAGTTAATTATAAGAAAAGTGACACATTTTTCCTAAAACACCATAATCATCTTTCTTAGTACCCTCTCTCCCTCTTCTATTTGATTATGGTTGAGGGAGTATCCATAGGGGTAATTTAGAAAAAATTGATAAATATGAGAAATGGGTCTTATATTTAGGATCAAAACCAACTCAAGAATTGGGTCCTATATTAAGGACCGGAGGCGTACTTCTTTTGAGGTATGGACTATCACTGGGCCTGGCTTTCACTTTGTTCTTCGCCCACTACTGCTCTTGTTTACCCCTCATGATGGAACTTTGACTCAACAGGCCATGAACTAGGCTGTTACTGCTCTTGTGAACCCAAAAAAAATAAAACAATAATACTTGAACCTAATTTGATTGTGTTGAATATCAAACAATAATAAAATAATGACATAGAAAGAAATGACTCTCACAAAGACAAAAATAAATTACTGGAAATGAATACTTTATTATGGTTGATAGAATATCAATAAGGATAATTTAGAAAAATTGATAAATATGATAAATATGTCTTCTATTTAGGATCAAAATCAATTTAATAATAGGTGATACATTAATGATCAGAGGATTATGTTTAAAATGATGGGCACTTTAAACAAAAAAATATTTAAATCCAAAAATCTGACTTAAACCCATAACCAAGCAGCCTGCTATCGTTGGTTGAAAAAGCCTTAAAGTTTTCACAAGCATATGCATTAGTCAAAAAGTAAATGCTATAGCAATCAATTATTAACGACTTGTTAGTTAATTAGTAGATCATGTTACCCCAAAGAATCAGACTGATTAATATATGTAACTTCTGATTGGATTATTGTGGGGTTAGGCTTGTAGGGCACTGATTAGCTTAATTTAAAAGCGAAAAAAATTATATTCTAATTGTTCTCGATTTATCTGCATGCATGCAGAAGATGCCCTGACGATCTTTTTGCTCAGCATGCATGTATCAACAAAATTAAAAGCTTGATTATTATTTAGTTAGGTAAAGTTTTATCTAAGCTAATTTGGGGGTTTCTTAGATTAAAGCTTGAAAGCGATATTCCTCAATATAATATTAATTAACCAATGGAACCTGATAATACAACATTTGTTTTTTGACCCCCTAAGAATACCATCATTTGACATAAACGTTTAGAATCAGTTACTCCTCTCGTATTAAATATAAGATCTACTTTATAATATAAATTATACTATAATAAAAAAGTCTTAGATTTAAGACCAGATGAGTATGTTCATACGGAACTGCAAGGTAATACAAGCAAAGAACGCATACAAAAATTAAACTAATTAGCATTCTTTTTCAGCAAGATCTATTATTTATATATATATATATGTATGTATGTATATTTAAACATGCGTGTGTATTTATGTATGCTTATGCATATGGCGGAGATTTGAGAATATATTTAGATTAGATTAGATGGACTGAAAAGAGTGCTGGGGCCTTACAGTTCAACTGGTACCGGGCATCTTTTTTAGATTTTTTTCGTTTGGGCTGATCAACATAAGATTGCGAGTTATGACAAAAATATTTATTCTCATTTATTCAATGCATTATATTGTCTCTTTTCAAGAGAGAGCTCAATCTTGATTACATTGTAATATTTACATCCTTGTTGAAATAAATAAATAAAACAAGCCCCTTTGATATTTATTCAATTCAAACATATTTAGAAGATGATTATATATGTGGGAACAAAAGAAAAGAAAAAGATGAATATATATGTGTGTGCTCATATATATATATATTTATATGATGACTTGTACACATTTGGGGCCAACTTATTTAGCATTGTTTTTTTTTTAAAAAAAAAGAAAGTAACATAGAACTAGAAGATGCATATAAAGTACTTAAATGATGAGCCTTTCTTAAATGCATAGCAGACACTTGGACAATGGCCCCGAGCCGAAGTCTCTGATCTGATCCTAGTAACTCCAGAAGTTATCAAGCTCCAATGGTGATGGTGCTGCAGGAGAAGCAGATGGGTTTGGCTGATCATCAAAACTTGGTATCACAGAAGAGATCTCCGGATTCATGTCGTTGGTGGTTAGCCCTGTTTCATGCGAAACACTCACCATTTGATCCGTATCTGATATAAAACCATGGTCCTCAAAAGCACAATCAACACCAAGCAAGCTCTGTTCCTGCACAGTAAAGGCAGAATGTGATAGAGGCATATTCATCTGAGCTTGAATGGGTTCAGCAGAAAACAGCGTTTCATGAAGAGGGATTATTGGCAAAAGTTCTCGAGAATTCGAGCAAATCCCCAAAAGGGAGTTTCCTGCAGAATTAAAAATCCCTCCTGAGGAGAAGCAGGGCACGTGTGCCGAATCAGTACTCACAGTAGGTCCCGTTGAGCCGATGTAACAAGGAGAATAATCTTCGACAGGTGGTGAAATTGGAACTGAGGAACCCAATCCATTTTCCATTGATTCCAACCTCTTTATATCAGAAATGTGGGTTTTCTTGCACCCTGAAGCCTTCCGAAATACCCTGCAAATCACCCTCTCGTTCTGCAAAATCATAACAAATTCAGTTTAAAAGGGAATGGAGCCGGAAATGCAGGAAACAGGTTAAAGTTCGTACCTTTACAGTTTTGGAGGAGTTGTGGACAGAGAATTTTCCATCTAATCTGTATTCATGCATGACCCAGTTGGTTTTGTCCCCGTTTGGTGCTCTTCCTTTGTAGAAAACCAGAGTTTTCTTCTTCCCTATTAACGATTTTCCACTGTAAATCTCCCCATCTTTCCCTGTGGACTTCCAGTACCCAGCGTTAGTGGCTCTGTTGGTTCTCAAACCAATTTGGTATTTGTTGTCTCTCATGGAGAAAAAATACCACTCTTCCTCTCCCATTTTGGCTTTCCCTGCAAAACAAAACTCATCAAATCAAAGCATCCAATTTCTGAAGAGAATCAGATTGAATGGGTTCAGGCGAGTTTACTTACACGGCAAGTCCCAAGGTTCAGACTTGTGTATATCCACTTCTCCAATGGCAATAGCAGAGAAGTTAGTATTTGTGACCTTCTTGAACAGATAATAAGTTATTAGCTCTTCATCTGTTGGGTAAAACCGAAAGCCAGGAGGCAAATTCATCTGAACTTCTTCCTTGTTGGACAGCACAGAAATGTTCTCCATCTAAACCCCTCTACCTGTCTTAACGAAAAGCTCCACTTCAGAAACTCTTTCAACAGATTTATATACAGGATCTGGTGGTCTGAGAGAGCAGTGGAGGGATGACTAGAGTGAAAAGTTGGGAACTCGAAGGATGGATGGAGATGGTGTTGATATGGAGGAATGACTATAGGGAAAAAGAAGGCCCTTGGGCTTTTGGAGATATTAGAGAAGTAATGTGAATTGTAAGATAGCTTGGCTGCTGTTTATAACCCACTCCTTTAACTTTAGTGTCATGATGAGTTTGGATTTGGTTCATTGTTTAGATGTTCACTTGTGTGATTTTCATATTATACATATTTATTACTATCAAGGCAAATAATAAAAAATATATATAGATAAACTCTATTTGTATTAACTGTTTCAGCACACAATACATTTATATCTGGAGATTTCACAATTGTCGTTTTATAATTTATTTTACAATTCATTAATTGGGGTTTAGATTCATGAATCTACAAATTCAACTTTCAGAAAGCTTGAATTTGAAGATCAGAAGCATTAAAAAAGTTGAGTTTTTTTTTTGTTTCTTTCTTGTTTCTGTTAAATTTGGATAACAACAACCGGATATTTCTACTCAAAATAATCATAAGTCAATTGTAATTCGTTTCTTTTGTTCAAACTAGCATACATATTTAAAAATTATTAAATGATAGGATGAGATAACAATTTTAGTATTAAGGGAATAGAATCGTAACCTGACTAACAAAATGTCAAAACTTAAAAAGAGTAGTATAATATTAACATAAAACTGAATCAAGTGGTATTAGTCCTGGTGACAAGGAGTTTTAGCAACTTAAACACGAGGTTTCAAGTTTGAATCCATGTAAATGGAAAAAAAAAAACACTTTTAAGAGTGTTACCTCTTGTTGGGTTTGATAATGCTCGAATCTAACCCCATTTGACTCAACATCAGGCATTTCTTTGTCATATTAGGCTAAAAAATTGAGGTCCAAAGCCTTAGTATGATTGTTAATGCGCACACAAGAAGTACACATGCAATTACATATGCATGTCCATGTAAGAATAGCCACCACCTTTTTTGACCAGCAAGTAAGAATAGCCACCACCTGAAGCTTTTTTAACAACCTATTTAAAATGTACACCTTAAAATAAGCTTAAAAGCCCAGGTTTTTAAAACTATGCAAGACCTTTCAAACCTATTTAAAAGCCTACGTAACATTTGTCTCAACAAGTAAAAATAAGAAAAACCAATCATTTGTTAATTAAAAAGATATATTTTTTTAAAATCAACCAAACACAATGCATCTGTTTGGTAAGGTGTTTGAGGGGAAAAAATAGCTTATAGGTGTGATAAGTCAGTTTTTAAATTTAGAAATTGTTTGTCACAGTTTTTGACTAATCTGATTTATGGGTCAAAAACTATTTTTTTAAAGCATGATTGCAAAAACATCTAAAACTTACTTATGATTTATATAAAAGTAACTTTTTAGAATTAAAAAACATTTTTGTCCTTATGTTTATGTTGTTCTTATGCTTCTTTTTATATATTTCTTGTACTTCCCGATCAATTTTTAGTTATTTATTTTTAATATTCTTTTAAATAAAAATAATTTTTAATATTTTTACAATATTTTTAATTTTTAATATGATTATTTATTTTATATTTACGTAAATTATGCAGAGTATATCATCTAATTAATTATATAATATTATTTGGTTCAAAAATTTTCACATTAATATGATTTCTAATTTAAATATATCTCATTCATTAAATATAACTTCTTCATATTATGATAATTTAAAATTATTATACTTTGTAAATTCATATTTTTAATCATTTTTCATTATTTAATAGAAGTCATATCCATTTTAGTCATTTTACAAATTAAACTTACTTATTCAATTATAATCTAAATAATCTTTTTATTTTATAAAGTAATTTTTATAAAAATAAATCCAAACATAAATCACATTATCTAAGTTAATTTTTTACTCAATCTTATTCTTTTAAAATTCAAATTGAAAATAAGTGACTTTTTCTATCGCTAATCCAAATAGATCCAACGAGTGGCATTTATAATTAGATTTTACACTTTTGCTTTTCTCATAGAAACTAAGACATATTCCTTTTACTAATATTATAATATTTCTTTCGAACAGTAAAAGAAACTTATAATAATTACCACGCTTCCCTTTAGCTAACCACATGAAAATAAAGGGAGTTGGGGTGAATTAGCGTTGCTCGTTGAGCAATGTAAGAGAAGAGAGTGGCAGTTGTAAGTGGCTTATGAATGAAAGGGATGAGCTCGTATGTGAGCAATGGGATGTGAATCTTATGTTAAGGTTAAGTTAGTAATTTTATAAATAATTCATAAAAATGATTTAGATTATAATTTATATAATTACATGTGTAAATTTAAAAAAGAATAAATAAGTCAGGCCTGTAGGCTGGCATGCTAGGTTTTATGAAAATATATTTGACTTATTTGCTTAAATTGGTCTAACAATAGGTCTAAGCTTAATTTATTTACTAAATAAGACAGGTTAGGCTCAATAAGTTAAACCATAACTAAGACTTGATAAGGGCCTGCATACTTTCCCATTAATAATAGTATACTCCCTTTAGTCTTTCCTCCTTAATCTAAGTTAAAAGTTATTTGCATTATTAAAACTACGTAGAAACTGCTTTAGTTCTCATCTTTGCTCCGGATACATCAATTTAAAAAGACATATGCCTCTCCCTTAATTGAGAATTGAGAAGAAGGGCATTTTGAACAGAAAGTAATTAGTACCCCCCATAGAATTCTTACAAGATGACTTATATCTAATAACTATAAAATTCTTCTAGAAGAAATTAAAGTAGCATTGATATGAAACATTGAAATAAAGAGTAAATATTGCAATTGCGGTTTAAAAGATATGTTAACAAAGTGTTTAGTATCAGAAATTACTTATTATTTGAAATTAGAGAATATCATGGGGGGTGATATTCTCCAATCCCACCTACATAAGATTGCCTAATCCTATATAATAAAAAATTACTCATACTAAACACTTTTTAATAGTTTTCTCTATCTCAAATCACAATCCTTACCTCTCATTCTCAATGCTTCGTATTACAAATGCTCAATGCATGACTTGAATATCTATGAAAAAGTCGTTTACAAGGCTTCAAATAATGGTTACCAAAATCAGCAAGTCAGTCCCAATGTGCTAGGGAGCTTTCCAAGCAGTAAGATCACTAATAATTTCTCCTCGCCCGTCCATTCAATGTCCACATACACATAAATAGAAATTGCACACAAAATGAGTTTTTATCTTTGAATCATTATAACCCACTAAATACCCATTACACTAAAAACAAACCGGTTTCCCCATGGTTACAAAAGCATCATGATGCCCGAGCTTAATCACAATTTACATCGGTCTTTTGTGTACACACACATATATAGCCATAATCGAATTTCACAACATTTTTCTTACCCATTGTTCGCAATAGTTGCATCAGTAAGTTCCCGATAGTAAACTCTCCCAATATTGTATTTCCACGTTCCCACCAACGATCAGAACTCCCAACATAATGCCAGGCCAATAAGAGTTTCTAAAAGTACTTCACATACACGCATCCATAATCACTGCCCAGCTTAAAAGTGAGGTAAGAACGTATATAATGTACGTATATAGTGAGCTATATTCAAATGTATGAAACATGCTTAGTTGACTAGCCTCATTTTTTTTTTTTATGTTTTCAAATTGATGACAAATGATAGATAACAATAAATAGAGAGAATACAAATCCCCAGAAGAGCACTAAAACGTATCCTTTCTGCTCGCACCATCCTTTCGTTTTACACTTGGATTAACAGAGCTAAGAGGCTCCTAACGGCATAGGTAAAAGCTACCTAGTAATTAAAGGGAAATTTTTTCTAAAAGTAGAAAAGACTGTTGTTTTTTGTTTTTTTTGGGAAGAAAAAAGCGTCAAAGCCCCTGTGACGGAATCCGCTTATATGCAAGGGAAGGGCTAGCCAACCAAGTTTGATTCTCCGTTTCTAGCCCAATACTTGGTCACTAAGTTGGGTTGGCTGGGAATCTCTTAACAGTCCTAATTCGGAATGCCCATTTTAACTCCTCATGTTAATCTCAGAGATTACGGAAATACAAAAGTCCTGTTAATCTGGCGGCCTCATTCCGATTTCATGTGGCTGAGTTGAGGGGCACGTGCAGTAGTAACACATCACTAAACTTGAAAGACACAAAAATTCCATATACGGACCCCACTGAGAAAGGAAAAAGCGAAAAGAGAAGAATATAAAGAAGTGGGATCAAATGGATCATTTTACAGGCACGAACGATCATTCATTGAGTAAAAAGGTAGTCACAAGGAGGAAAGCTCGTTTATACTGATAAACATTACACAACGCCCAACCAAACTGAATATTAAATTACAACAAAACTAACAACTTTTTCTTCAGTTTACAGAGAAGTATCCACAATAATGACATCACCATATCAATTGCTGTCTCGCTGAAGCTAAGAGAGTTTCTTCCCCCTCTTGTCCTGCCATTCCTTGATCTCAGCTCCTATTTTCGCTTTCACCCTTGTATGAAACCCAGGATATGGCTCATATCCAAAAAGTGATTGGAAGATCTGTAACAGTCAATAACAGTAAATCCATTTTGTTTACTCCTTTCACACATCAAAAGGACTGGTTTGAAAGTTTTCAACAAGCAAATACCTCAAGCAACACAAAGAAAGGGGCCATCAGAAAAGCTTGAGTAAGATTGTCCAAGAGAGCCGGTGCACGTTTCTAACATAAAAATATTCGAACATTTTAACATGATTGCAGTGTGCAAAGCCAGAACCAAGCTTCTTTTTTTTTTGGTTGGAACCCAGAACCATGCTTTATTAGCAATAAAATAAGTCATTTACCTCAAACACGCCATGACCAACAAACTGTCCGGCCCAACAAAACAACTGAGCAGCAAGCACAACCTGAAAGATAGATGTCAGGTATAGAGTTAAGATTTTGTTCAAAGGACAGAACAGATTTCGCCATGCCACTCATCTATCTTCAGGAGGCCGTTCTTCCATTAACTTTTCTTGAAAAGGAAAGAACTTGCATCAACACAAAGATGCGTGGCCTTTAAAACACTAGTGAGTAATAATCATTTGTTCTCTACCAAAACGACCACAATGCTTTTGAGCAATCCTATTGCCTATCGTACAAGTACAAACAGGGTAGTAGACTCTTGCTGATAGCTCTCTCAGTTAAAAAGAATACACTTTTGCATGTTTCTAAAGTAAGCAAAAGAATTGCCACCATTCTTGTTGAAGGCTCAGATTTAAATATTGTCATAGGTAACAAGGATGAAGTAGAGAAATCATTACACGAAGGCTGAAGCAATTAATTCCTAAATTCTTGGTGAAAAACAACCACCAGTTTAATCACTACCTCATCAATGAAAAATCTTGCAAGTTAACTCCATGAAGTCTTATGAGAGAATAAATTAACAAGGAAGATGACAGAACAGCTTCAAATTCGTACATACTCATTCTTACTATCCCCACCCATCTAATATGCTCTTGCATAATACATCCTAGCGATAAATGAATTTTTTAAAAAGAAAGAAAAGAAGCAAATTAGAAATTAGGAAAGCAGCATGTGATGAATATCTAGTAACAAATGAATAAATTCTCAGCTATGCACCATAGACAAACAAAAGGTATCCACACAATAAATCCAGATATAGTTCAAACATAGGAAACATAAGAGTTTTAGTTAGATCTGCTAAAAACAAAAATATATTTAGAAAATAAGGCATTGTAGACACAAAATCCCAACTATATACTCTAGTCTTATTTATAAACTTCAAATTTGGAGAGAAGTGTGGTCCATTTTATAGGCTTCAATTTGGGGTTTGTCTAAACACTTAATGCACTTTTTCCAATTTTACCCTTAATTATTTATTCCATCTCCTTTGTCATACCCTCTTTACATTCTCTTTTATCCTTTTCCTTATTTATTATAAGGGTATATTTGAAAATGAAACTATCTTTCTAACCTATTTATTGCTTTTAAGTAATTTTAACTATTTGTTATAATAAGTACCGGAGGGAGTAGGAGAATAATGAGATTGACTGCCGAAGAATAGAACCGGGGAGCATTAGACAAAACGAGAGAATATAAGGATGAAGTTAACAGTCAAAATGGCTCGTTTACCAAACATCACAAAAAAGAGTAGCAGAAACGTGATTGATAATTATTCCATGAGTGTATCTATTTGCGAGTAGTATGCACTATAAGTCATTGTGTAAAGAAAGATAGAGGAGGGAGAAACAAATACGAGGGTTGAATCCAAAGGCAAGTTCTGGGACTGTGAGCTATTGCAATTTCTAAAGCTGATAAGCTTGTAAGATTTTATCCATAACGATCACAAATTCTTATAAATCAAGCCATTAACGAAATGAAAGAACAATGAAGCAAAAAGGTTGACTTCGAAAGCTTCACAAGAAAGGTCCGAATGAAAAATTTTCTTCCAGTACAGAAGCCGTATCAGTGTTACTACTGTCAAACATAGTCATCATCCAAAGGATGGGAGGAAAACAATCCAGGATATATCTGAATAGAGAGAAGGTCATCAACGCAGCCAGTAGCTCCAAACAAAATTTGTCGTTTTCCAGTATTTACAAGGCAATCACATGAAGGTATATAGCTTATCCTTCAATCGGGTAAGAGGGTAATCCGTACCTTCCACGCTAGAGAAAACCCAAGCCTCTGAGCAAGAATGCTGGACCCGACCCAACAGACCAAACAGAGCAAAGCCGCAAAAGAGCCAGCTTTGTAATCCAAGGAGAAATAGAACAAGGCATAAATAGCAGCAAGCAAGAAGCCGTAATTGAAGACGAGGCCATAATCAAGCCCCAGTTCAGGGGCCTTAAAAAGGGGAGGCGTGAAGTACAGAAAAAGCAGGGAAGTGAAGAAGATTGGCCATACAAACAAGACGTGTATCACGATATTAATTGGATTGCTATGGTATGCGCCATAGAAGGCAAAGTGCTTCTCCAGATCGAACAATCCGACCCTCCCCATAGGGTTTGATGAGAATCTTCCAGAGAAAGGTGAAGGCGAAGAAATTGATTGCCAGAAAAAATTTCAATGAACTTGTAAAAGAGTTAGGCAGTGGAAATCCCGTGGGCGACGCCTAATGGAAGTTTCTTGTACTCCACGCTCGTCATCAACGAGAGGATTAACGTCAAGGAATACGTAAGCTTTGTAGGTCGGATGGAATCAAGCGTCATTTTTAAGGTAACAAAATAAATTATGAAACTAAATTTTATAATATATATATATATACAGGGAGAGAAGGCGTGGGTGCATCCCCCCCGGGGTGGTGGGAGGGATTGAGAGGAGGAAGTGGGCTGACAGGCCCAACAAAAATCCGCCCTTTTGCGTGCGCCAAAAATGGGGCATCGGATTCCCCGACAAAAACTTAATTGGTAGAGAATGATACAAACATGATAGGGATGTGCTTGCTTGATTGGGTTTCAGAACCCCTATTCCTACAGGAAGTTGCTTGAATTGTGCTCTGTGTTTTTTTTTTTTTTGACATTTTATCAAGGTAAGCAGAGAAGCTTTAGCTCAACTTATATAAAATTACTTCTTCTTTTGTTTTTTTCCCCTTTTAAAGTGTTCCTAAGGATCCCAAACTCCTCTTTTGCATGTTGTGGTCTGGTTTGCGAATAATCTGGGCTGGTTTTGTTTCCAGTTGTGTTGATTGGATCAGTGTGTATGCCTTGGGACTTGATTTTAATACCATCTCCTTTGTTAAGCCAAGAAGGAAAAATTACTTTCGCGAGCTTCGAATGGATGTTAGAAGAGATAATTATTAGCGGGGGCCGTATCTGCGTTTCATATAAATATAATACAAAAAAAGTGTGAATTCAACAAGAATTAACAAAGATTGTTTTAGTTAACCTTCATCGCAAGCTGCAAAATTTTACTTAGTCATTAAGTGTGTTTTAAATTGATAAAAGTAATCTATTTTGTCCCTATTAAAAGCACCAGAACACTATTACTCCTCCGGTCCTAATTATAAGACCCAATTGACTTATTTGAGGAGATTAAGGAAGTAAGTTAAGGTGGTTATTTATAATAAATAAGTGTTGTTATTCTTAAAATATCCTTGCTAATTAAGTATATTGGCTAAAACTATCATTATTAGAAGGATTATCTTGGAAAAAAATACATAAATATAAGAGAGAAAATTGATTGGGTCTTATAATTAGGACCAAATAAAAAGTCAAATTGGGTCTTATAATAAGGACCGGAGGAGTATTAATTATCCCATCAACCTCTTATATTTTGGACTAAAATGTTCTTCTAGAAGGCTTATCATGTTATGGGTGGGAAGAAGGGAGTATATACGAAAATAGTGTTTGTTAAATACTCAATCATTTAAGGGATGAAAATCCTTACTACTCTGACCTGTCCAAGTTAGACGTGAGGCCTATATTATGCAGAATATGGTTGTATGGCAATCGTAAAGGTTGGCCAAGTTCAATTATTGGTGCCAGAATTTTATCAAATTATTGATTTATTGATGCCGATCATTGATCATTGTTATTAATGGTACATAAAATTCTTCATGGAACCAGTCAGGGATTTTCAAATTTCAGTGCTCATTGGACACTGAATACTGGCAAAAAAAATATTTTGATTTTATATTTTATATCCATCAAAATGTTAGATGTTGGATTTAATTATAAACATCCCATGCTCATTATTTGAATCCATTCTCATATTAAATGACACAAAATATGATTTTTTTTGTTAATATTAGCCTTCTCCTCTAATGAAATCAATAACAATTTGGGAGAATCACAGAAAAAGACATGTTAAATTTTAAAAAGACAAATAGATCATACTAACTATTACTATAATAGTTTTAACTATTCAAAATCTGTCAAAATTACTATTTATCATTTTGAAACTCAACAAGTATCTTTGTGTCATTTTTTCTAACTTTTTAGTCTTACTCTTAGTTTCGAAAAATTTAGAGATGAAGATCCATGCTTATTTTTAGGAGCTATTCTGGAAAATTACTACCCTCTCTATCTCTTTTTATAAACAACATTTTAGCTCATAACGTAAATCAAATGTTAGTTAAAATTAGTTAAAGATAATAAATATATAGAAATTAAAAATTCTTTCTTTAAAATACCCTTATTTATAGTGGAGAAAGAGTATAAGAGAGAAAATAAAAAATTTATTATAATAAAAAAATTATGAAAGCAAGAGAATGTGTGATGGAAATATAATAATTTAGAAAATAAAATAATAAATATATTAAGTATTAAATAAATAATTAATAAGAAAAAAAATTGTTAAAAAATCAACACAACTTATAAATATTATTTATATTTAAAAATGAGAAGAAGATGATGATTGTTACTTGTAAAATGAGAAATGATCATTGTTGATGTTAATGATTCAATAAGTCCAAATCACATGGGGTGAAAGGACTTGTTCGGCATCTTCGTCAAACCAATGAAATCAAAGCACGCGAAACATCGCACAACGCAACGACACATGGGACAACTCAACCAAATTAATTCGAAACACAAAAACCAATGAAATCAAATTAATGTCTTCATCTACTCTATTGGCTTTGCCTGCCAAAAATCATAAAAATAAAAAATGCTCCTCTAATTCTTCGTATAAAATTTATTTTATAATATAATTCATATTATAAAATAAGTTTTATATTTAAAACAGAGTAGTATTAGTTTTCTGATTCTATTTACAAGGAGAAGATTTTTCTTATTTATAGGTTACTCATTCAATCTTATTTATAATTTACTTTTTAAAAATTTTAATATAAATATATTATTTTATCTTTTATTTGATATAGTATACATGATTATGTCTTTTAAAAGTATATCTATTAAATAAAAATAAAATTAAAAATTATTATATTTTAATAAAAAATTAATATGATTTTAAATTTTTTTGTTTATATAAAATGTGTTGAAAGTATTTTATAAATAGGATTGAAAAAATAATAATATTCCCATCTCACTCTCTCTAAGACGACGTCACATGGGGAAGGGCGACACTCGCCCACTTGCTCGACCAATGGAAAACGAAAATAAATACCAAAAATATCAGGCATTTGGATAAAGTTTGGATGTCTTTTCTCTTTTCCAATCTATGAAAATGATAAATGGATAACCTTTTTTCCTTTTTTACCAGAATATTTAATATTTAATGGATAAAGTTGAATCCAAATCACCACAGACCCCGCTCGCCACATTTCTCTGTTTTTCTTTTTCTCTTTCTCTGCTGCTGTTTGGTACAACATTTATAAAAGCAAACAAATCCCTTTCTTCCTCCCACCAAACCATTCAGGCAGAACACAGTTTTTGTTCAAACCTTGCGCCTTTCCTTGAAAAAGTCGATTCACAGACCTACAAACCCTTCTCTCCCTCCTCACAGCGGTCTTTTCCGGATCCCAAAAGTAAAAAGGTCAGTTCTTGATTCACAAGCCGAGTCAGGTCCCACTGGGTATGATCTAAGCGCCGTTAAATCTCAGAGTTTGACCAGAATCAATGGCCTGTTCCTCGAAGAACGTTTTCTGTGTTTCTGGGTTGAGCGAGAATCTGCGTAGCTCGAAAACGAAAACTGATTTAGGGATTTGCCCCTCCTCTGTTTGTTTCTCAAAATCCAGCGATGCGAATTCGGGTGTCCCTTCCTCTTTGAGCAATGAAATCATGGGGAAACCCTTAGTAGCAAAAGGTTCGTGGGATTGCAGTTTGAAAAGCCCCACTAATTTCTCTGTTCAGGTATGTTAAAAGTGTTTGCACTATGGTTTCTTGATTTCAGTTTGAAAGATTAAATCTTTGGTATGGAACACAGGCATCAGCTTGTGTAAGCCGAGCCCTTAGATGGTGGGAGAAGACCAAAGCGCCTAATATGATTGAGATCCATTCAGCTCAAGAACTGGTCCGTTCTTTGCTTGAAGCTGGCGATTCACTTGTTGTGGTCGACTTCTACTCACCTGGTTGTGGAGGCTGCAAAACCCTTCACCCCAAGGTATCTTAATAATGTTGATATTGATGACTCAGGGAGGGGAAAAAAAAAAAAAACCCAATATGGTAAAAGCATCTGAATCTATTTCTTCGTTTGCCTCAGATCTGTCAAATAGCTGAGATGTACCCAAATGCAAAGTTTCTTCAAGTCAACTACGAGGAGCTAAAACCCATGTGCCATAGTCTGCACATCCATGTGTTGCCATTCTTCAGATTCTACAGAGGAGCAGAGGGTCGAGTCTGTAGCTTCAGCTGCACCATTGCCACTGTAAGAATCTGAGCCAGAACAGTTTGTGAAGTCTTGCATTATCCATCTGGTTTGTCTTGACACTTATTTGGATTTGTTGTGCTACAGATCAAGAAGTTTAAGGATGCCCTGGCGAAATATGGGACCGAGCGTTGTTGTTTAGGTCCACCAAGAGGTTTGGATGAGACAGAGTTGGAAAAATTGGTAGCCAGTGGCGAGATACCCGCTGAATCGCCATTGTTGTACTCCAAGGTGAAGAAAATGGAGGACATGCTTCTGAAAAGTAATGGTTTTTCTCTTGTCGGGGGCGAGGCAAGTGCTAATAGGGAAATTGAGCATCAGGTTTTGTGCTGATCATCGCTTTGTCAATCATGGAAAGATGGAGAAAGAGTAAAGCAGCTCCCGTTTCTTTCTTTCTTTTTTCTTTTTTTTTTGAGAAAAAATTGAGGTTCTTTTTTCATCCCAATTAGAAATTCGAGGGCTTTCAATTGTAAATTCAGTAGTTGTAGGGGTGGTTTGTTGGGGGTCTCTTTAATTTTTTTTAACAAAAATTGAGACCCTTTTAAACGTGTTATTGAGGAGGATGATCGTTTTGTTTTGGTTTGAGAGCTTAATATGTAATGTTGTAATTATATATCCACCTTTGCCTAATTATATATCATCCATTGATGTGGTATTCTTCTTTATGGCTCGAACATTACTGGCTTTGATGAGTTTAATTTCTCGGATAATAAATTGTTTACCGTTCACCAGTTTTGAGACACTGAATTGAAAATTGGTACATTAATTTGCTTTATTAAATGAGGAAAACGGAGCGTGGATAGGCTATTTCACCGTTAAGTTAGAACGCTGATCAGAAATACCAGATTTTAGGTGTAAGGACAGGGCATGCCCCATGTAATAATATGAATACTATATTTTGGTTCTTAATATAAAATTTAATTTAATTTTAAACATAATATTTTAATTTATTTTATTTTTTATAGTTATTTATTTTTTTAAGATAATTCTTATAATAGCTGCACATGTTAAAGATTTTATTAAATGAAAATTTTATCTAATATATATGATTATGAATGATATTTTAGAAAAGATAGCACTTGTTTAATACAAGTAACTAACATAACAAATTTTTTTTGTCTATTCAAATTAGTCAACTAGTTCTTAGATTGAAAATAATATTATTTTAAAAAATGTATTTTTGTAAAAAAAAATAATTATCGATTTAAATTCACAAAAGAAAATGTTAGAGCGAATCATCAATGAACTAATTTTATATTTCAAGCCTTTCTTTGCTAGCCCCTCAAAACCTATTCTAATTTTGAGCAAGTCTTGGGTGCTTATCACTATGCTCATTGCTAGGACGAAATTGAAGACATTCAAAATATAGTACGAATAAAGATAAGATTATAACAGAGAGAAACGGAAACAAGGAAGATAAGGTGAAGATATATAAATATCAAAAGAGGAATGAGGGCAGGCTCCAATGAGAAAGAAGGGAAGAAGGTTGGCAGATAGGGAAGCGGAATGAGTCAGGAAGGCGTGGAAGTGACAAGGAAGACACACCAATCTGAGTCAGCCACACACAGCCAAAGCCTTCGATTTCTGAATGCCAATCATATTATCTCATCTCATTTGCCCCAATATGGCATATCCGCAGCCACAGGCCCTCATGTTGTGTACGTCCATGTGCTTTGCAGCTGCCCGCCTCCCTGTCTTTTTAATGCATTTCTCATAACACCTCTGCTAACATTATGCTCCTTTTTAATGTTCACATAAAAATTAAAATAATTAATTAAACTAGTTATTTTTTAAATAGGTTGATTTCTTTAATATATTCCTTTTATTTATTTGCATTCTTAACATGTACAATTAATGAGCATAGTTTAAAGTAAAAATATATATGAATTTATAAAAAATAAGCGGATTGAGTTGTATTTTAAATATCTAGATAACTAATTTAAAGAATTAATTAAGTTAATTATTTATAAAAAATATGCGTTGACTTTTATAAATTACTCTATTTAATCATATCCAAGAGAATTACCTGTTAGTAGAAATTTCTTACAATCCAATAACGATATTTTGATAACAATATTATAATTTAGAAGACAAAGTAAATTAAAATTTTATATTTAGATTCACATTCAATTTCTCAACTAATTCTTATATTTAGAACAAAAAACAGCACATTTACTTAAAGAAATACGAGCGGTTTAGTTTTCCTGCTCGGGAACTATCTAATTTGGTCTAAATTCTCGGGGTCAAAAGCGTCAAATTTGCTCCATAATACTGCCTCAAACGAACCACTATTATCTGCGCCATTCGCCTGTGGAAGCTGATGGGAACATTACACTACTGAAAACGAAACTAAGCTAAGCAAATAACTAATAAGCATACATTTTACGGGTAGAGAAAGAGATTCGAATCACCTACAAATGCCGCTAAAGCCAGATTTTCTGTCTTGGCCAATGGCCAACACCGCTAAAAGCATATAAATCCTTAGTAAATCAATTTTTTTCCACGCAAAGATTTTTTTTATTAAAAACAATCTTATTAAAAATATTGTCGGTCACTAAATATGCATACTTTTTAATTATGAGTTATACTGTTTATTGTTGCCTCTCTATCATGATTTCTTAACATTGAAAACATCAGATGAAGCATCAAGTTATAAATATAAATTTTTTTTTCTGAAGAGTCTGTATAAAAGAATAAAAGAAGAATGGATATTTCTTGTTGAAAGAGGCTGGAGCTGGATCAATACAAAATATTGCGATGGCTGGACTAAATTATATTAAATTGTCAACAGCTGCTCACGGTTTTGAAAATTTCTTTTTCGCCAGTGGTTTTGAAATATCATTACAATGGGCTGGTGCATTTTGAACAAAGCTGAATTTACATAATGCATTATTCATAATTGACCAAAAAAAACGCAATATTTTTTAAGAGGCTCATCGGCAATGTTTTTCCTTAGTTTTCCTCCACGTGTTTACACCAGATTTGAGAGTTGAGACCATCTAATCAGTTTTCTTTATACGTGTTTAAATTTTATATATTATTTATCTGAGGAGAGTTGTGCATATCACATAAAAATGTGACATCCATTGGTCAAATACATATTGGTTATATTGGTGGCAAATATATATATATTGGTTATAACTTTTATCAAGAGGTTTCGAAATGTGATTTCCGCTTACTTCCTTCCACGTCTCCATCCTTATCATTTGGGCAGTTTTAGGGGATCACATTTTATATCTACGTCTTCATATTGAAGATATCAGCCGTCCACGCCAGCAATTATTAAAATCAACAAAACTTTAAAGCCTTCGGAAACTTCAATGTTTTTGTTTGGCAGATTTGAATCAGCAGAAGCTTGATGGAGAAGGAAAAAAAGAAAATAGAAGTGAGCTACTCCTACTGGACGGAGTAGCAAGAGATTATCACAGCAGCCATCGTACCAGAACCCTTCAAGAGAGAAAGGCAGAAAACAAAATATGAGCCACTGAACAACAATACCATCATCAACTTGCGACTAAACTTTCTTCAGGCCTGCAACTACACCTGTGAGAGGTGAGGAAATTAAATTAAAGCCACGCACAAACCAACCAATAAATTGAACTGAACAAATGAGAAAATGAAAGGATTCAGTATGAATGCATCAGAGAGATTCCCATTAGACTAAGTCATCAATCTCTTTAAAGAGTGCTGATGTCCCTGTCTATTTTCTCATCATTTGCACATCAAAAGCCCATTTAAATTAAACCACTGGTAAGTCGGTTCATTCATTCGAGCATCTAACACCATAAGACCAACAACAGTTGAAACAGAACCGGAGAATATTTGAATTTTGAAGCTTGAAGAGGTTGTTCCTCTGGGTGCCTCAGATCGAGTTTTATATCATGGAAAATAACTCTCTCAGAGTATATTTATAGCCATCATAGGCACACACAGATGTCAAAGCAAGAAATCCAATCACACTAAAGAAAATAACAGGCAGGAGCTTAGGAAACCTAAGACACAGAATAAGCTTGACACTGATTCAAGCACACGGCTTAAGCTCTGAAGTTCAGCCGTGGGAATTAGGGTTTCTGCCGCCGGACGTACCCATTATATAGAAGCACAGCACAGCAAATAGATCAGGGCTTGTTCTCGTCTGGAAATAGAAGTTGGGATTTTTTTGTTTTTGGGCAAGTAGATTATAGATTTTGGAATGACATCCACAGATATTCTCAGAAGCCCATTCACTTTAGCTAGTCCAGGACTGCTTCGGTATCGGCTTCTGTAGTGCAACATTAAAATCTTAATTATAGTTTTGAACTAGAGCCATCGAATCAGCACGGGGATGTAGCTCAGATGGTAGAGCGCTCGCTTAGCATGCGAGAGGTACGGGGATCGATACCCCGCATCTCCATTATTATGCTGTAACATTTTTCGTTCCCTCTGCTGCTTGCCTTCTCATTGCGCCAACACCTGCTACTCTTACTCCCTCGGCCCTCCGTATCCACATTTTTGCACATGTTTTTACAATAACGCAGCTGAGATTTCTTTGATAGGCAGACTCAGTTTTACAGGTTTGCGAATGAAGGCTAAGCTTTTTCTTGTCTCAAACCCCCTGCCAGGTTGGAGGAGGTGGCGGTGCAAAGGGAGTTTCCGTTGGAGTTTCTACAATCCAATGGGAGGCTATTTCATGTGCAGCAACTGTATTCTTCTCAAACAGTATATATTTATGTCTCCTCAAGATGTGATACTAATAAAATGGAGCAGTGATTTGTTGGTGATATGTTATTTAGTGGTCATTACTGTGCACTCCAGAGCTGCAGAGCCATAAGATCATGACTCATCTGCCACGACACTTCCATGTTTTTTCAGCTTAATTACAAAGGACAACATTTTAGTTCCTACCCTGTTCTTTCAGGCCCAAAATATGAATTCTGATTTTGGTAACCAAAACATGAAGGATTGGAAATTGGAATAAAATATTTGGGCTGTCACAAACTGGACTAAACTCCTTGTTCCAATCTCGTTCAGCTTAGACCACTTCATTTCACTAACGCCAACACACAAATCAAAGCCCTCAAGTGTCTTCAGCGTTTCTAACCCCACCATTTACTAAGCTGAAGTGAACACTAAAACCAATCATACTGACATTATTTTTATGGCACTAACATTTATAACAGAAAAGATATAACTAATCTCTGATTGTTTTCCAATTATAGATACTCTCTTTAATCTTTGACTTGAAAAATTCACTCACTGTAGTTGTGCGTTCAAAATTATGTTTGTCTAGGGTTTAAAACAATTCACTCTCCACATTATTATGTCTGCATATACAATCTTTAATCTTTGACTTAAAACAATTTCAGCTTAATTACAAAGGACAGCATTTTAGTTACTACCCCGCGCTTGTGTTCATGCTCTGTTCTTTCAGGCCCAAAATATGAATTCTGATTTTGGTGACCAAAACTATAAAGGATTGGAAATTGGGATAAAAAATTTGGGCTGTCACTAATCGAACTGAACTCTTTATTCCAATCTTGTTCAGTTTAGACCACTTTTTCTGTTTGGAATAATTTATAAGTAACTTTTGAATCATGATTTACGAAATACGAGATAACTATATAAGAGAAATTTTGCCTTAACTTACATGAAACGTATTTATAAATGATTTTAATCGTGATGATAAACAAAGCCTTCACACTAACCCCAACACACAAATCAAAGCCCGCAAGTGTCTTCAGCGTCTCTAACCCCACCATTTAGTAAGTTGAAATGAACACTAGAATCAATCATACTAACATTATTTTTATGGCACTATTATTTACAACAGAAAAGCTATAACTAATCTCTAATTTTTTTCTCCCAATTATAGATACAATCTTTAATCTTTAACTTAAAAAATTCCCTTCGTGTAGTTGTGCGTTCAAAATTATTGTTGTTTCGGGTTTAAAACAATTCACACTCTACATTATCATGTTTGCATATACAATCTTTAATCTTTGACTTAAAACAACTCACTCTGTACGTTATTGGATTGCATTTAATTTAATGGCTTCAACATACAATTTTCCTTCTTGCATCAACAGAGTTTTGTTTTAATTTTTAACCACTAAGCGTGATCGCAAGTTCACAATGGACTCACTCTACTAAGCACTTCAGTGGCTGGCTGGCTGCCTCAAATCTCAGTGTATAATTTTGTTGAGGATGGATCCATAGGAAAATCTACTAACCCATTTGGCACATCAATTATCCAAAAAAAATTCCTGATCCAGCCACCTGTTCGCCAATGATTGGCTCGGGATCTTACCTTCAAAAATCAGATTCCCTCTTAAAAATCCTCCAACGTGGCACCATTGGTCCCACCGTATTCTCCCTCAGCCAACAACAACCAAGATATAGATTTGCGGATAGGACGCCCAGATAAAAGGATAAGCCCTCACGCATTCTCCACCGTCCGATCCTAAATATCGCCCCCATCAACCGTCCACCACGCGCGACTCACAACAGCCACATGAATGGTCGTCTAATGAAATACAAACTACAAAGCCGCTCCAATTATCCCGACATTTTCATCTACCCAACACTCACTCGCTCCGCCTGCCACCGGAAAAAAACCCATGGCCACCGTCACCACTCAGGCTTCCGCCGCCGTCTTCCGGCCATCATGCTCCTCCAGATCCAGATTCCTCACTGGCTCTTCTGGTAAACTACAGAGGCAAGTTGGTTTCAGAACCGTGACACCTCCTTCCTCTGCCTCTTCCTCCTCTTTCAAGGTTGAAGCTAAGAAAGGAGAGTGGCTTCCTGGTCTGCCCTCGCCAGGTTACCTAAATGGAAGGTACGTCCTCATATACGCACGCTAGTAAAGTACCTTACACGCATTACCATTGATGAAGTCTAAAAGTTTTTTGTGTTTGAACTGTTATAGTCTTCCGGGTGACAATGGATTTGACCCTCTGGGGCTAGCAGAGGACCCAGAGAACTTGAAGTGGTTCGTGCAAGCTGAACTCGTGAATGGGAGGTGGGCCATGTTGGGTGTTGCAGGAATGCTTCTTCCAGAAGTGTTCACAAAGATCGGAGTCATCAATGTTCCAAAGTGGTACGATGCAGGGAAAGAAGAGTACTTTGCATCATCATCAACCTTGTTCGTGATTGAGTTCATTTTGTTCCATTACGTGGAGATCAGAAGATGGCAAGACATTAAGAACCCTGGAAGTGTCAACCAAGATCCCATCTTCAAGCAATACAGCTTACCCCCTAACGAGGTTGGATACCCAGGTGGCATCTTCAACCCTCTCAACTTTGCACCCACACTTGAGGCCAAAGAGAAGGAGCTTGCTAACGGTAAGTTCGATCTGATGTTAAACACGATCCAGCAGCGTACGAAATAGAACCATGTAAGGCTAATTGTGTTTGGCTTTTGGTTTGTGTGCAGGGAGATTGGCGATGTTGGCATTTTTGGGGTTTGTGGTTCAACACAACGTGACGGGGCAAGGACCATTTGACAACCTGTTGCAGCATCTTTCTGACCCATGGCACAACACAATTGTTCAAACTCTGAGGGGATACTGATAAGGATGGTTGCCCATGGCATTAAAACTTGTCATTAGTGTTCTCTTGTGAAGCAGAGTAAACGAATTTTGAGAGAGATTTGGGCCTTCCATTGTAAAGGATCTAATCAGAAAACTATTATTTCTCATGTACAGAGGAACTTAAGATGGTTTTATCTGCTTGTTTATGCCTATTGCCAATCGCTTTATTTTACACGTAAAGAAACTAGCTATCCATGTACTGTAGATACACCAAATTTACCGGTTTATACTGCTAGACTATTAAAAGACAAAATTCCAGAAAATGGTTACACGACAAACCACACGTGAACAAGAAATACGGGACTTATTTGATTCTAAAAACAATTCTGCAGAATATTTTTTCAAGTAAGTTTTGAAAACAAAAATTTTAATAAATGTATTTGAATCAAACAAAACAAATTCGCAAGTTCCAATATTTCGAGATTTAGCAAGGAATTTTCTGTTTCTGTCTAAGCTCTCGTTGCCAGATGATTGAAAGGTACATATCTGTGAACCTAAGCATGAACTGTTAGATGTTTATAACTAGGTACAAGAACATGAAGTTGAAGGCTGTGATGTCACCCAGAAAACAGCTGAAAGTCACGCATTACAAAAAATTCCTGAATTTTCCACCTCACCCACGGCTACCCATCTACCCATCATTGAGGTGAAGGTTGTGTCATACAAGTCAGTTGGGAAATAACTAAAGCTGAGTTAGTAACTTACGGCGTAAATTTGAGGCGATGAATAATGTATGAGGTGTGTAACTATTAGAATGGAGAAGTTAATGTTGTCGTTCATTCGGGACATCTGGTAAAATCGGAACAATACAGAGAAGATTAGCATGGCCTGTACAAAGATGACACGCACAAATGGAGATATAGTGAGAAGTTGAAGTTTGTTAGGATGGGGGAAGAGATGCTGCTATGGTTTAGTGTATACATACTCAAATTAATTTTAAGTAAGAGAATTGATCTAACGAAGACAACTCATAAGAATGTTTCTTGGATGATGATAAAACATGGATATGCACATGGAAAGGGATGGGGTTTCTTCATATACAAATAAAATGCTGTATAGGTAGAAATTGAGCATGATGCTTGCTTGCCACTATATATGTATCTTCTTCAACTTCCCACAATAATAGTAATTGATTGATTTTTGGCATAGGCATTGGTAACAGGATTGCTGAATTGTTTCATCGAGAGCTCACAAATATCTGAATGTTTTTGTGCGAGTTTGAAACAATCTTCCAAAGTGCAATGTCTCTGGAGAACGCATCTCCTGTAGAATATCTTTGCAGATTCTAGTCCAAATCACTGCACCAGATAAAAAGAGAAATTAAATGTCAGTCAAAGCATATGATTTTGAAAGAAATAATATCGAAAATATTAGGGAAATAAGCGCGCGCGAGAGAGAGAGGTAATTTTGTTGCCAATTGCCGCTACTCAGCTCTTGAAACTTGGTTCATGAAACGTCAACTAGTTTGAATGCCTATTTCCACATCTCTGGAGAATTTACAACGGCCCATCTAAGCTTCATAATCGAAATTGCTGCATCCGCAAAGTATACGCAGCAGCAGAGGTCGGCCAGCACTTAGAACGTCTTTTATGTTCTTTTAAATTTAGTCACTTCATTATTCAAGCCAATAAAAAAAAAATCAAAGGAAAAGAAGTTAGATTAAATTGGAAGCATGAAAAAGAGAAGATTACACCTATATTTAGCCCAAAATTCTAGTTTCGATTCTTAAAATAAAACTTAATTGACTAACTTATAGAAACATTGAGAAAGTTAAATATATTACTTTACATATTTATATATATCATTTTTTTCAAATTAATTTGATTGACTTATAAAATGATATATAATATAATGATACATATAAATATTTTAAAGAAATCTTGTAATACATACCAGAATAAAGTTATCATTTAGCTCTCTTAATCTTCCTAAATTAGTCAACTGAGTCTTATATCAAGAACTAAAGATATTGACTTGTAATTTTTTTTAATAAAAAGATCACTATATAAAGTAAAATTACAATGACAATGCGATAATCCTCATGAATTAGGAATGGATGTCCAAATTTGGACTGCCAACGTGATTGATTTGGGTGTTGTTAGCGGGTGAAACGGAATCAAGGAGTTCATTTGAGTAGGATCGAAAGCACAGATACAGATACAGAGACGTGGGTGAGAGGTGTTTTAAATTAACTTATTTTAAATAATCTTACATTATATGAAAAAATTATCATCCCGCAAAACGTAGAATTACTTTTTTACATGATTTCCAAACACCAACTATGATTTATGGATATACGGATGTATCGGGATGGGGATTCTTTCCTCCTGTCACTTCTTTTTAATATAAAAACTACATTTTCCCCATATTAACAAGAAAATTTTTATGAATATTTAAGACTAGAAAAAGCGCGTAAGCACCAAACAGTGCAATCCCAGCACGAATGCATCTAGCTCTGTGTTCACAAATAAATTTGTTTTCAACGGCAATGAATCCTTTCGAAGAGAAAAACAAATCTATTACACGTGGTTTGGCTCAATCTTCATATCTAACAATGCTACATGTGAAGGTGCATCTAGAAAATTGCACCTGTGTAAGAATATAAAAAAAAAAACTAATTTACAGAGAATTTGAAACAAAAACACTAGATCATGTCGTCTGTGAATGTCGAAGACTGAATGGTCCTTAAAAGCTCCCTCAAATTGGGCAAAACATGACTTGGTCCCAAACTCCTAGCACCAATGGAATTCAAGAGCTGCTCTAGGTCCTAGAATCAGAAAATGCGAGGAAGGAGCAGCAAGTCAAGTTTCGTTGGAATAGATATTTACTTACCGTAGCGAATGCGCACACAAAAATTCAAGCACGTTCAAAGAAACAACTACACTACCGAGAAGGGCCAACTGTTGAGACAATCCTGCATAATATCTGATATATGTATAACACACAATAGTCTGAGCTCATAGGTTATCAAACATAAGACACTCACGATGCAAGACCGCCAGTCCGGAAAATACAAGTCATTACACTCGTACAATAAAAATCCAGGAAAGAAGGGGGGATTAATCAAGCTGGCTCAACCAACTACCCGTAGAAGTATAATTTCTCCTGGCAGTCACCGACTTTACATAAGGAAACGTCTAACATTTAAGTTCATTTCGGAGTAAATATGGCCAAGACCAATTTTATCTTTTTACTCTTCTGGTCCTTAATATAAGACCTAATTGTTAAGTTGATTTTGGTTCTAAATATAAGATATATTTCTCATATTTATTAATTTTTCCTAAATTACCCCTATGGATACTCTCTCAACCATAATCAAGTATAAAAGGGAGCGAGGATATTAAGAAAGATGATTACGGTGTTTTAGAAAAAACATGTCATATTTTTTATAATTAACTAACTTAACTTCCTAATCTAATCAAATTAGTTAAATAGGTCTTATATTAAGGACCGGAGGAGTATATTTGATCAACCCAGCGGATGAATGCTGAACAAACTCCACAAATGTATAAAATGTGTTTTTAGAGCTCTCTCTTTCCACAAAAGGGATTGGATGAAAAAGATGACAATACGACCAGTGGAAAATAGCGCAAATACCAAAAACATACACTGACCAAAAATGGGAAAAGGAGAAGACAATATCAGCGAATAGCTAGCATTCAGTAAAGGATTTATAAAGGAAAACAACAAACTAGAGGAGGCACAAGGCTATGCCTTCTAAGTTAAAGCATCTAGTCCAAAGATAACAATTTGCATAGTAACCTGAATAATAAAGCAAACTTTTCTTTCTTTTTTCCGTTTTGATAAAAGCTATAGCAAAAACATTTTTGAAAAGACATACCTTGTTTAACAAGAATACAGCATAAGCTGCTCTTGTTGTGTCTTGACCTTCTGAAAAAAGAGGGAATGCCATTTGCTTGGTGTTTGCAATAGGCGTTGTACTTGATGAAGAATCTGAAGATAATAGATCTTTTGAAGGTGCATTGTCAATGATATATGAATGAGAGCCACCCAAGCGCACAGGATATCGCAGAGGAACTTGCAAGTAAGATGCTATAAGTGATACAGCCTGCCAAAAAAGCTAGTCTGATAAAGTGTGTTTCAATAGTTAATAGGTCAACAGCCATATATGGGTAGCAAAATAAAAAATGCTGTATTTAGAGGCACTAAAATTTAACACCATCACCACAGCGAGAAAAAGAAATGACAATCAATTGATAAATGTTCAGAAAATAATATCACATCATGCACGTGTGGATTATTAACAGTTACTCAATAGAAAAGGAAGCATCAAAAGATATTTTGGGGCATCAGAACTTACGTGTGCAACATATCCTAGGGCAGTTGCAGACTTTTGGATTTCCTTTTTATCAGTAAAAAAGCTCATCTTCTTAAAAGACAACATTGTCAAATGCAGACCCAGAATTGTTATGGATCCTTGGTTAACAGGTTTATGTTCAGCAGAATTACCTGGGTAGAGAAATATTGACAATGTTAACAATTATTTTCAAAATATTTATCCAACTAGACACAATGAGTTGATGACTTGACAAACAACTTGACTTGCTTAGTCCAAATAGGGATAAAGCATTGAGATCACTCAAAATTTATCAAGAACTCAGGTTTAAATATAACAATAATTCAAATTAGCACATGAGAAATCAGAGTTCATATACAGTGAAGTGCCATATTCTTCTGGAGCATCTAAGCCAACTAGTGGAATTATGAATCATTGAATAAGACAATGTCTTTCAATATGAAGATCAGTTCAAGAATATTCGAGGACTTTGAGGCCATTGTCAGCTACCTTGCCGTAATTGAACTTTAACATTCAAATAGAACAGATAATGGAAATCGCAGGACAACAAGACATCAGTTCACTTTATTCATACCAATATTGAGCAGATATGACACAATACATAAGCTACAACACCATGTTGATAAACAAATGAAGCGATTGTCCTTTTGTGCAATGAAAGGGGAAAGAAGAAAAAAATAATCTAAAACATCAAAAAAAATCAACCATTAATTATGCAGATAGAATTGCAGTTAAAGACAAAATTACAATTAAAGAGCTACAACAGCTGTCAATCACAGATTGGCAAGAAACAACACCTATGAAGAAGCATTTAAGAAGATGACAGAAAGAGGAGAATTAGATGGATGACGTACAGAATGAAAGATAAAATTTTCGAATACTCAACCATGTAAAGAAGTACAAGAGCTGCGCTTTCTAACAGAGAGCAAAAAAAGGTTAAGGAAACCATCCAGCATTCAGTTTCACAGTTTATTTTAAATTCAAATTCATTTGAACCTAGTATAAACTCATCCCTTTACCATTTACAGGGTATTGTTTGCATAAATAGAACAAGGAGATTTATTCAATTAACACTCACCTGCTATGCTGCCGGCGGGATATGCTTCAAGTTCTTGCTCTTGTGCAGGTGCAACCGAAATCTTTACAGGATACAACATTGATATTTGGGATGCCATATATTGTTGCCTAAGTCTTAACATCTTTTGCAAATTTCTCAGTTGAACATAACCTTTTTCTTCAAACAGTAACCTATTTGATTCCTACATTAACAGTATAATCAGCTTTTCAACTACAACCACAACTGTACACAGAAAAAGGCGATGCTCTTCAATTCCAGAAAGAAATTGTGAGAACATTTTTTAATTAAAAACCCACTGGGTATTAGAATAAACGCAAGGTCACCTGAAGTCTTCTTCTAGATACAGAAAGAGCCGTCCCTGCCACCAATAGTGATTCAACTTCAACACCGAGCTGCTCTTTCTTCTTGGTGGCATCCTCCTTTGCAGCCCTGGAATGCATTGATACATTCTCCACCATTGCTTTCCTTGATTCAAGTTTCTGACGCATCTCCTCAAGTTCATTAGACCTACTCAATGACTCAGCCTTGACCTGCTCATGAAATTACCGCCCGCTAATATGCGGGCTCATTAATTAAGGCCACATTTATTTAGAATAAAATAACAAACAAAATAAAAAGATCCTACATCCAGACATCAGATTCTTTGTTACTAACGTTGTCTCAACAGAAACTCATAAATAGGACCCAAAAGAAAAGGCCACAATGAAAAGGTAAGCAATGCAAATGTAGACAACAAAATCCAAGATTACTCAACGTTTACCAATCAACCAGATGAAAAACATCAATCCTCGTGAAAAGTTTGTAACCTTAAGTTTGGACAGCCATGTAAATTTTCCTTTTATCTTTGTGTTACATACACACTAATCAGACATTTTTGCCTGAAACTTTGAACAAACAGATGAAACAAGCAACCGCAAACGGTTTGCCAACCCCTGTGCTTCGGTAGATGGGTCACAGGATGATTAAATGAACAGTGATATATGAAACAACTCACGCAATATCAAGGCTATTGCTGCGTTTAGGAGCTTTTTTAACATACTGTATTCCTTATCCTTCATTAATATTTCTGTTTAAAGGGATTGTCCTATCACTAAAGATTTAATAAATTTACATGAAAAGTCCTCAACGCCAGCCCATGGTATAGAGCTCCCCTAGCCTCTTTGAAATAAACGCTCAAAATCCCAGGGAAACATGGTTGTGAATTAACAATTATACTGAGTTTTTGATATAAAGGACTCTTACTAGAAAATGGATCATAAGACAAGTAAAAAAAAAGAAAAGAAAATGACTAGTACGCTTCTAATTTTGTGATAAATTAAGTCAAATTTAACCCTGCCACAAATCGATCATAAGACGAGTAAAAAAAAAAAAGAAAATGACTAGTACGCTTCTAATTTTGTGATAAATTAAGTCAAATTTAACCTTGCCACAATGTCCAATTTGCGAATTCATCCACATGAATTTCCTTTTGTCGATGTAGTGTCCATAAATTATTCTGCCATAATTCTATTTCACAGCTACAAGCACAATGAAGGAACCCTTTGACTCATTTCATTTTCTTCCCGGCACCACTACTTAGTTTCTTGTGCTTAAAACTTCTAATTACCCATCAACACGGAGACCCTAATGCGAAGTAGGCGCAAAAAAACAAATTTCTTGAAGCACGCCAAAACCCTACCTGAATAAGGTGCTCGAGCTTCTGTTGGAGATTTCGCTTCTTCTCCTTGGCTTCATTAAGTGCAGAAGAAATACTGACCAATCTCGCAAGATCATGCTCGAAGTCCTCCCATTCTATCACTTTTGCATTATCTCGATCGGGTATATCGGTCCCGGAGGACAAATTTCGATTTTGTTCCATGAATACTACGAGCAGAAAGAAAGACGCGGGAATCCAAGAAGAGGTCAGGGGTCGATCTCATCGTCCTGGAGTGGATAATTAATCAACTCATCGACCCTCCTCCGCTGGGATCCTAATTTTCTCGGAGAAATTGTTTGGTTTTTGGGAAAGATAGGTCAGGACCCGATTTGAAGAAGACGAAGCAAACACTGATATTCTGTTACCTGGAGGCGTGGACCGTATCATCACGGTTCTCTCTGCCTGAAGAAATTTGCACAGCTTTTACCTTTTTTCTAATCCATAACCCCCCCCCCCCCAAAAAAAAAAAAAGAAAAGAGTATGCTGGATTATGTATGTCAATGGAATAATGGAAATTCAATAAGTCACTTTATTGTGTTTGGTAGGCACCAAAGACATTCCAGAGGAAAAGTGGTTTCCCGTGAATGCGAGAGAGGTAATTCAAATCCCCCGCTGGGTTATTTTATTTTCCCCCAAGTCCAACAAGCTTGGTTATTTTTTATACTTATTTTTTAAAGTTTAACTTAATACAATTCAATTTATAAATTTTGATTTAATTAAAAATTAATTTTTAAAACATTAACCCTAGTTAATATTCAAAAAATAACTTTGTTTTTATAGTTTTTTTTTCAAATATAAGGTCTGACATTTAAATGATAAAATGATAAAGATTAAATTGTATTAAGTCAGTATTTATAAACTGAGTTTTAATTGATAAGAACTATGTTAAATTATAAGAATTAAGTGATGGTAAATTATGTACATGTTTAAAATTATGTATACGTCACTAATTATCACTCAATCTAAACATGTGTTTGGCAATGGTTTGACATTTTGACAAAAGTTAACATTGAAAGTACCAAAAATTTTCTATTTGCCCCCTCATTGTGGGGTTATATCTGTATTGTTTGAGGCTCAATTTTTTCTCCTGATCAAAAGAAGCGTAACATGTCTTGAGATGCTAATTTCAAAAGAAAATATAGCAACGCTGATTTCATTTTTCACATGATTATAAACAGTACTTTCCTTGGGAATCTCACATTCGAAAATAACTTTAATTTTATTTTTTTTAGATATAAAAAATGGCATTTCACATGGTTAAAATTATAAATAGTGATCCGGTAAAATTTGTAAGACTAAGTTTTAATTTAGTTAACATTATAAGAATAAAAAGATTATAAACTGTACGCTTTATTTTTAAAATACTACTTTCGGTCCAAATCATAACACCTTATTTATATACTATAAACAAGGTCTTATAATTAAGATAAGAGATAGTAATTAAAATTCTATGAATGTTACTAATAATCAATTAATTATCACTCAATCTAAACGTGTTTGGCAATGGTTTGACAAATTGACACGAGTTAATATTGAATGTACCAAATTTTGATTGTGCCCTTTGACCTCGACCTGCCCCCCTCATCGTGGGGTTATATCTGCATCGTTCTTCTTCTTTTTCTGGGGCCAAATATCTGTATCGTTTGAGGCTCAATATTTTGCCCTGATCAAGAGAATCACGACATGTTTTAAGATGCTAATTTCAAAAGAAAATATAGTAACTCTGATTTCTTTTTTACATAATTATAAACACTACCTTCCATGGGAATCTCACATATCACAATAATAATTATTATCCTAACATGTTCAAACTCTACAAACTAACACTAAAAATGCAGGGGCCACATAATATATACTGAATTGAACTCTACTCTCCATGAAAGATGTTCATGGTCTCTCCCTTGCTAATTTGGATATTTTGAAATCACCTCAAGTGAATTGAAGATGGAGATAAACACGAGAAATGGATTGTGTTCTCTGTAAAACCTACATATAATATTATCTGTTCATCTCCACTTCACCTAAAGCTACTTTCCAAATTAGTCTTTTTGGCCTACTTCACAGTAATTCAATAACCCAGAGAATCACTAGTATGTATCCCACGAACTGCTAATTCACGTGTTCTCATGAAAGTAAACGGATCTAGACAAAGCTGCTGGGTTGGCGCTTAACACCGAAGAGATTTCAATCCCATGATGTTTCCTCGATTGAAACGCCTCAAACATGCTTCCACCATTCAATGATCCCTTCTTTATTCCTAAGGTAGCCCATATTGAACTCTTGGCAGCCTCAATTGGGTCATGAATTCTCAGTGTTTTAGGCACCAAAACAGAGCCGCTTCTCTGTTTCGATGGTTCCTCTTTTTGCAGATACCCTGGCTCAAGCACGTCCCCATCCCTCTTGCGCTTTCCTAATATCGGAGAATTCGGACCAAAGCTCGATGAATTTAAGGTTGGGGAAGAAAAGTTCGTGGAAAACCTGGGAAGATTTGCCTTCCGATTAACTGACAGGGTAGGAAAACCTGGAGTGACAGGCCAGGGAACACTAGGAACACAAGAGCTTTGGAGGATTTTTTTCTTGCTTTCTTCTATGGAAGATGTGTTTCTCCGATTCTCCAAGATGTGATTATGGAACCCATTTCGGGTGCTTTGAGAAACAATTTTGTTCCCTGCTAGATTCAGTATAGAACCCATGGGCGCATCTGATCCAAAGCTGAGAAGTTTTCCATTAGTTCCATTAGGAGCACTAATTCTGGCTACTCGAAGAGCTTCGTTAATGGTGATGTAGCGATAATGAGAGGAGTTGTTTTTGGTCTTTCGCCGCCCTGCACCCACTGGAACGTTCCTCATGGTGCCACCAGCTGTCCAGTATCTTTGACAGGATTTGCAGAAATGGCGAGGCTGATTGACGTTGTAGTTATTGTAGTAACAGAACTTTGTGTTCATGCTGTTGCAGCGAGGACACGGAAGAACTTGATCTGGCTTCTTCAGGATTTTCTCCTGCGCGTTGGTTCCATCGTCATTCTTTGAAGATTTTGCAGCTTCTTCGTCCATCGATGGTGTGCTCGGCTTCACGCTTGCCTCCGGAAGGAGTTCAGGCTCTTTCTCTTCAGGGCTATCTCTGACTTTTCCAATTAGAGATTCCTGGAAATTTCAGTTAAGTCTTGCGTTTTAGTGGACAATAAAGAAGCTTGATCTATTGAGGTAGAAAGTCAACCCACAAAAGAAAGCAGGAACTGCTAGCTTGAAAGTATTAAAAAGTAAGACGAATGAAGTAAAAAGGGGGAATAATTAGTTTTTTCAGAGAGATGATTTGGTTGAAATTTTTCAATTTGAGCTGTTTTTGCTTTCAGTGCGTTATAACTTATATCTCACTTTCAGAAGTTCTAATGCCAAAATCTGCAATCTCCATAACTCTGTTTTTCAGGTCCAGATACTGAAAATGACAAACATCACCAGGAAGATCAATGAGTCCTGAATTTCACGATTGAAAAGCGTAGACATGCTAATATTGGATGGGAAAGACCAGATGCGGTGTTCGGTTTCAGAAAACAACTCGAACAATTAAGTAAACACCGAAGATCCAAGCAAACTCCATAGTTAGAGAAGATTTTCAAAAGTAGGAAAAGTTTTGACGCTAGGAGCTTACCACACCACCATATCCAATCCAATAAAAGGGAGAATGAAAGGATAAAGCAGTTAAACCATCCCGGAACATCTATATTTCGAGAAAAACGCTGATGATCTCTTGATCATTTCCGGACTCACTCTATACCCACTAACTTGTACCTTGTCGGGTTCATCATCTTGTCGTCTCTTCTGTCCTCCGTCGTCTCCTCCTCCTTTCTTGGCATCAATGGCCGCACTTGAGACAGAATCGTGGGCGGAAATGGCAGTATCCCGGCCTTCAACCTGCAATGGAATCTTCATTCCGAAGAGCTTAATTGCAGGGTCGCTACTTTCATGCATTTTCTGGGTAAGCAAACAGGACAACATGAAGTATGTTTCTTCTTTCCTAGTTGTATCTTAAGTTCGGGTTTGGGGTCTGAATTGTTACAGGTTTCAAAGCTTTTGAGTTTTGATCTCGATTTGCAACGGAGGAACGAAGAATGGGATTTTGATCCGTTTTAAGCAGAGTTGGGTGCCACGTCAGCGACGGGGGGTTGAGTACAGGCCACAAGTTTTGTTGGCCTCTGGCAGATTTTCTTCTACATTTAAAATTAAAGAGAACTGAATATATAAATAAAAATTCAGAAGTAAATATCTATTTAGTGAGGCATGCGAGAGATTTTTGAATTGTCTATATATTTCTCTTTATTCCCTTGAAATAAAGTAATTGAGACTAATAAATCCGCAATTGGCGTTGGTTCTTGGTTGCGAGCAGGTTGTGTCCCCATCGGAAGAGCATCGAAGTGTTAGCGACAGGATGCAACGTGGCGAGAGGTGATTGGCGAGGATAAAAGCAGAGGAAATGAAAACGACAGCTACAAACGTAACCTATGACTTTTCTTAACCAACACACGAGGGTGGGGCAATTTTGATTGTGAGATTTGCAGATTGAAAGATGAAGCGAAAGTGGGATTAACATGAAATGCAAGCCAGAAAAACAATCGACAAAACAAATAATTAAAAAGTTAATGTGGTGCTCTTTATATCTTATCATATCATTTGATCATGATTATTACTGTTACTAGTACTATAAAAAAATTGAAAAGGAAGAAACATAATTTTTATTCTTTTTATTCACAGCCCTGTGTTCTTATTATCTGCTTTTTCAGTATGTATATATGGTACTGCAATTGTTTTCTTTTGTTCATTTGACAAGAACTCAGTCACATGTTTCGTTTTCTTCAGGGAAGCTTCGTCCAAATTGGGAACGTTTTATTGCATCGCTGCATTAAATGATCATTCCGGGGAAAATAACAGTTGATTGAGAAGAAACACAGATTTGAATGAAGATAATGACCTCAAAATGTGTTTCTCACCTTGATTTAAAACAGTCCGATCCTAAAAAAATATCTAATGCTCCGTTTCTTATTATAAGATCATTTTAACTAAATTACATGGTTTAAGAAAACAATTAAAATGTAGTAAATATAATTTTTCTTCGAAATATATCCCCATATATAAATGGGTAGATGTAAGAGAGTAATAGTGAGATAAATGAAGAAAAAGAGTATATTAAATGTATTAAACTAAGAGTAAAATAGGTAATGGAGCGAGTAAGACATTAATTTGATTCTCCTTTTAAAGAATAAATTGAAACTGGGTCCACATTCATCCAGAATTTATTTTTATGATAAAGATGGATGAATTCTACCCAGCCCCCCGGGTTGGGTGGATGGGTTATGTTTTCAAAGTAGGGATTGTTCGAACAACTTGATAGCCACATTCCATTGGTTATGCTCTATGGATGTAGGGCAAGCTGGACTGTATTTGGCACCAAGTCAGTGGTTTCATTTTGTCTATCTCCATCTTAGCGGACATTGGGGATAATTACGGTTGGAAAAATCACTAAGACGTCTCAAAAAATAATATATTACGGTATACATTTAGTGCTTTAATTTTATATAAAGTTTAATTTGGTCTATTAATTTTAAAAAGCATATATTTGTTCCTTTAACTCTGAAATTATTGGACTTAAAAAATAATTATTTGTAACACTCATGGTTATTTTGAAAATTAAACTTAATATGTTAGTATTTAAGAATATTTTATGAACAATTAAGATCTTAATATCATCATGTTTTGTCAATAATTTTAAAGTTAAATGACTGAAAGTATATTTTTTTAAAGTTAAGGGATTAAATTGAATCTCTCTAAAATTAAAAGAATAAATGTATACTTTAACTAAAGTAGTAATAATAATAATTAAAGAGTCACATGATAAGTGAATAATTGGATTAGTGTCGTTTTATGCACCGAAATTTGTTACTACATATTGTTTAAAAAGTCTCCCGTGTCTGTTGTTTTATGAAAGTTGATTTTTTTTTCCTGTTTTAAATTAGATCAAATTCCTAATAAAAAACATGCTATAAGCATCAAATGTCTCTTATAATAAGAAACGGATGAAGTATTATTTTTTCAGATTAGCATATTCTTTTGTAGTTATGTGCGGGTTTAGTGGTGTTGAGTATACCTTCGCAAAATTAACAGTGTTTAGATCATCACGATCTTTTTAAATATTTCTGAAAATAAAAAGACTCGTGTTTGAGACGAAACAAATGAAAAGAATGAAAAACCACAAGAATAAGTTATAAGGACTGAAAAATGCCTGATTAGATTATAATGATCTAGAGCGGTGTTTTTTAGTTCAACATGAAATCTTTTTGTAAACGATGACTTGGGAAAAAAATTACTTGTTAAGATTCAGGCATTTTGTTCTTAATATTTGAGCATTTCGTGGAAGTTTTAAAACAACATCTTGCATTTATATCCAGGGGCATTTTAGACTACTCATATTGAAGCACATTTTTACTCAAGTCTCACGGGTTGGAGAAAATTTTCAAGAATTATACGAACCCAAAGCGTCATTCTCATCATTGCGGGGCCTTTAATGACATTCTCCCAACGATAATGGTAAAACTAAAAAGATAAGAGTAAAATATTATTACTACAACTCTATTTTATTTAAATTACAGAATTTTTTTTATTTTAAAAATATATATAAACTTCTCTTAAAATTAAAATACATGTTACACAAACATTCCTTATATATTTAAGATTTCATTTCCATCTATCCAACTGTTAGGTTACTGTTAATTTTAATTTTTAAACTTTTGTTTTGACCAAAATACTCCTCGTTAACATAAAACTTATTTAAACATGTATATTTGTAAAAAAAAAAAAGATTTTCTATACAAAGAAAACAATTTTAATGCATATATTTTCAAATTTTTAATATGCAATAAAATTTATTAATTTTGATTATCTTAATATTTTCAAAATTTTAATATGCAATAAAATTTATTAGTTTTGATTATATTATAAAATTTTATAATTTTAATTTTTCACTGCATAGTAAAACTCAGTTATTTGATTTTTTTTAAATGACTAGAAAGTATATTAAATAAATATTTTTTTCATTGTATAATATAAATTGTTTAATTTTGAGAGACTATAGAAATTATTTAAATTTATAATTTAAAATTTTAAAATACAAATTTTGTTAGAAACACTTATAACGTATTTAGTCTATTGTATATTTATTTAAAGAATTAGTCAAATTTCTATTAAAGGTTTTTATGTCCACATTTTTAAAATAAATAAATTTTTCATTCCAATGTGATAGAAACACTAAACAAATAACTATTTGTAAAAATAAAAAATAAAATTAAGGGAAAATTTTTTAAATTTCTCAAAAAATTTAGCCAAAATTTAATGATTTAGTGTTATGAAGGGTAAATTAGTAAATAAAAAGTATCTTAATATAAATTTTAATTAAAAAGTATGTTTTTAAAATATTTTTAATGGAGTTATCAGTTTAAATTTAACCGTATGTTTTCAAAATTAAAAAATGGTCGGTATAATTGGAGTAAAATATAAAGGAGGTCAAAATATTTTACTGAAAAAATAAAAATGAATTATAAAGTAATGTGAAGTGAACAGGTCAAATTAAAACCAAACGGAATCAGTAGCAAAAATACAAAATGAAGAATTTTGTTAAGTTCTTAAATCAAATTAAGGTATTGAGGGATCTCTATATCAAATATCAATATTTACACATATGTTAGAATGAACTTAGTTGGCATAGTTCTCGTGGAATTTAAAAATAAGGGGATAAAAAAGATTTGAAAGTAGAGTAATAGGTAATAAAAAATGGAAAAGAATGATTTGTCTTGAAGTTATAGAATAAAGAAGATAATTACAGAGAAAATAGATGAAGGATGAGTTTGGCAACTGTTACAGTAATTTTTTAAAAATATTTTTATGTAAATTGAAATAAAACTCATTTCATATATTCATCTTACAAAAATTATCCAAACAGCTCGTTGAAAACTATTCGATCAATTTTTAAGATACTAAGCATATGATACTTGGTTTTTATTTACATGCACCATCCTACTCCTTAAATGGCATCCTGCCAAGTGGAAGTAGTGAAATATAAAAATATAAATTTTATGAATGTAGAGAAGAAAACAATTTACTAGTCCGATCTTAAATATAAGACTTATTTTATAATATAATTTATATTATAAAATAAATATTATATTTAGGATAGGAGGAGTATAAGACTTGTGAAGTTTTCATATCATCCGAGAAATATGAAGCCGCATAAAGTGACACATGGACATGGACTTGTGCATAATTGTTACTCCCTCCGACCTTTTTCTTAAGTAATTTTAAATTGTATTATAGATTAAAAAATTAGTTAAAGATAATAATAAACAAAAATTAATTTTTTTAAATATCCTTATTTATACGAGAGAAAGTATAAGAAAGGGAACAAAAAATTATTATAATAAAAATAATTATGAAAAAGAGAATATCATTTGAAAAATAAAATAATAAATATACGAAGTATTAAAATAAGTAATTACTTGGGGAAAATATGAAATGTGCTTCAAAATTTTAAGACAACTCATAAATGTTGTTTATTTTTAGAGACAATAAAGAAATGGTAGTTGTTGCTTACAAAAAAAAGATAGAGGGAGTATATTCACAATAACAAAATACTACAAGCATTTTTTTAACTTATAATTTGGTTTTAAACATAAAACTTTAATCCACTTTATTCTATCTATTATATTTATTTATTTATTTTAAAGGAGTTTTTATAATAGTTGCACATATTAGATATTTTATCAAATAAAAATTAATTAATAAAAATATTTTAAAAAATAATATTTATTATACATAATTAAATTAATTATTTTTTTAATCTATTTAAATTCATGAAGTATTTTTGCCAGACACAACAACAAAATATTAAAAAAAATCAGGTATTATGGGACGGGAGTCATAGTAAAACAAGTGGATTTGCATACGTGTCGGACGTATGAGAAAGTTTGAGTCAGCACGCCTCATTTAGGGCACA